ATGGGGAATTCTGCTATCCCCTTAGCATGAGGATGAGATTGGCAGGAGAACTGCAAGTAGTCCAGGTGGTGTAGCTGGGACTGGAGAATTTCAAGTGGCTTCTTAATGGACCTCTCTCTTTCTTTAGCAGAGATGCAGGAGCTATTTTTGACTATGCTAAGAACAACAACTGTGGAAAAGGCAGTACTTTGTTCCAGAGGAGGACATGTGTCTGACCACAGGATTTATTTTTTTCGAAAATCCACAGAATATACAGAAATCTCTGAGCTTACTGGGTAGTTGTAGCAGTCACCGTTCATCCTTACTGAACTAAGGTACTGATACTTTAATTATAAATATTTTACGAGAGGAACACTTAWTGTACACTTTGCTGAGTTCCCATTCTTGTCTTGCTGTTCATTAGAAAAGAAATTTAAGTTTACTGTGAGACTCTAAACCAACAAGTTCTTGCCATAACCCAGTCTGGATATAAAGTTCAATTCTTACCATGTCTTTCTTGAGCAATATTTAGTATGGAAGAAGTGACTTAACCCTTTTTAAATTTCCAAGACTGAAGTCCAAAGATATAATAAAAATATCTAGATGCTTAGCAGATATTAAAGCAAAGATCATACCGAAGCTCAACTATAATTAGGTTGATATTAAAGACARAATTGTATTATATAAAATTCTAAGTGAACTACTCAAGTGATTATAATGAAGTGATAAGTGAGATCATTAGATGGTGACAATATGCAATGATTATACTGGAAGGTATAGATCRAATTTAAAGAATCTACAGTGTTCAATCCAATGTTGGAAGGCAGAGGGAGAAAAAGTACCTCTTTTCTAATTACAAATGAAGCAACATATCGATTGCTTTGGGTGGTGGTCTCCATTCGCAGCGAGAGGAGCTGCTGTGCGATTGTGCTGGTCGCTGTGTTTGCAGGCACGCAGAGATYCCTCCTTCTTTGTGAGACAGACTAATGTGCAAAGAGCCCACAGGAAAGCTGTGCTCCTTTAAGAGGAGTGTATTGCGGGCGAAGGGGGTATAATGCCAGGTATAGCTAAAGGAAGCATGGAAAGGCAGGCTTCAGCAGGAGGAAAACTTAACTACCTGAGTTTCTGCTGGTTTAAGCCTGACATCTTAGTCGACAGTATAGCCTGGCCTGCTTAATTGCAGAAAGAGAAATAACTTAGGTGGAGGTTTGTGCAAGATTTTGCTACAGCCCCAGAAGCCACAGAGTTGATTAGCCTCCAGCTAAGCTTTTGGGAAAGAACCTGCCTGCAAAGTTGTAATGGACAAGGGTGATATTTTATTATAAAACTTATTTTACTTCAGTAAAACTCTTTTTTTGTTTGTTTTTTAAAAGACTGGTGGTTCTAATAAAACCTATGGTTTGCCTTTAAAAACTTGTTTGCAAAAAAAAAAAAAGGCAAAGCTGTGAGAAAGCTTTGGTCAGCTTGGAGTCCCATCATCTTTTGCTTATTAGATGGCAATTGGGAAGGTGATTTGCTGTGTATTTTGAATGGTAGATCAACGAACCTAGAAGATTTAAGGGCTTACTACCTTTAGCTGTTAAGTCCAAAAAAATGTTTGTATAGTTTCGGCACTTTAGAATTATATTGCTCATCTATTTATCATTATTTAAAGTATTTTTGTAGATCAGTGATTTCAARTTGGAGGTAAGAGCAGTGTAAGAAATGTAACTTTTTGCTCTCAAGGCCTCAGTCCAGGGTGTTTGGTCAGGAAAAAAAATGCGTAAACATTTGAGGAAAGGTCAAAAGGGACACAGTGAAGCCGTAATGCTTCATAAAGGGGCATAACGCTTCCAGAGAAAGGAGGAAAGCAGATTGCTTTTCTAGAGGCTGGTAGTAGAGGAAAGGAGGGGAGCTGTGAGGATGAACCTGTGGCAGGAAGAGTATTCARTACTTCTGCAAGTGCATCTGATGCAATCGAGAGCCACCAAGGGTCAGGGAGTATAGCACTATAGCACATATATTTCAGATTCCTACTTTCCTCTCAATGTCTGTTTTCTGAGAACTTTTAAATAGAATATACTTTTCTTAAGAACTAGCTCATAATAATGTTAGGAATGGGCGGAAGCCGGGATATGAGGAATCCATACAAGACTGCCAGTTCCAGTGACAGACCTTTTCAAAACTGCATACTACAAGAAAAACAAATTTGAAAAATGAAGAGGACCAGACTTACCAGACCTGATCTAACTTAATAAACAGAAGTCCTCCATTTCTGCCTTGCTSTTTATCTCCATTGACAGAACTGTCCTGTGCAAAAAACTGCTCACAGTGATTCTGCCAACCTTTGCTCTGATTTGRTTTCTACAAACATCTGTTCTAACTGTAATGAACTATTAACTATGGTAGAATGAGATCTTCTTGCCTTTGTTTTCTGCAAAGACAGAATTTTCACCTGGACAGTCACAGAAGTAAAACCAAAAATCAGATGACGTGATGCTAAGTGGAAATCATTTTAGAAGGCTGCGGCGTTTTACTTTTCAAAACCAACTAATACCTTTCCAAATTACCCTCATCCCRACTCAAATATGCTAAATTTTGCTCTTTTTTATTATGAGAAAAAAGTACAATTCTGATCAGCATAATTACTCAGATTCATTCTAACATTTTCCCCTTTACATCTTCAGCAGCTATTGCTAAAGMGGAAAGTTCGGAGAGCTTCTTGGTTTGTATCTCAAAGTGCTTTCTACCCAGACAGGAACAATTTGATTGCATAACCCAAGATGATGCTTTGACCACAGATAAAGTAGTAAAGTGAGCAGAACATCTTGTGGAGGTCTAGAATAACTGCAGAATGCTACTCGCATGCTAAAATTCTCAGAAGGACATGGGGATGAGATTGAAACTCATTTGCCTATAAAATATTTTTCCTTGATTAAGGTTGAAAATTGGATGGCTTGAGCTACTTGCCTTTGGAACTGTGCTTGGAAATTGTGGTGCTCTGTAAGATACTTCCAGGTTAACCTCTTCTCGAGTGTGCTCTTGAAGAAGGACCAGCTAGAAGCCATTCCTTAGAGCATATTGTGGTATCACTCCATCATATTTTTCCTAAGTGTTTGCTTTTATGTACAAATTAAAAATGACAGCTTTGCGCTAGAAGCAGTCTGGGACTGGCAAGTAATTGCCATGATAGTCAAGAGATTTTGTGGTAACAGAGTGCTCATTATGTCTATGTTTGTGAAATTCTTTTGCTCCCCTGCTTCTCTGAAAACTTGATCTTTTTCTTCCAAGTACCCTTACAGACAAATCCTGTCAGTTCAAATAGGAATTAGATGCGTCTGTGTCACAAAGTAGGGTAATTTTATAAACTTTGTGTTTTTTAAGTTCATTCTTTCACAATGCTGAGTATTTTTATTGCTAATGGCCAATCAAATGTAATGTGGCTGGTGTTATGAGTATAAATCTGTGGAAATCTGCATTTGACATATTACTGATCTGTATTCCACTTAATTTTTAAAGATTTGTGGGATTTGCTTTAAAAACACTAATTTCAAATTGCTATTAAAACTTTACCATTCTGKTTTTTTTTTCTGAAAAGTTCATGTTCACTGCATTAACATATTAAATGCAGTACGGCTATTCTGTTATTAGTCAGCGTTACAAGTAACTTCATTCCAAAGCTCATATTTTCAAATGATCTCTCATGAGAATCAGCAAAGATCGGAGCATTAAAACTTTAGAAGACACATTAGAAGACACAAGTAGATGAATGTGCTACATGGGTTGTACCCTCATCACRTTTTCCATCTTTTCATGGCTTAGGAGAATGCTACTGAAAATATACACTTTTAATTTCACAGGTTTTTAATGACTTGAATGGTTTTAATGACTGTGTCCAAGTTATCTGGTCTTGATACACCTTTACACCTTTAAAATTACTGATAATTTAACACGTAGGTCTTTAGAAACTGTGGGGTTTTGAAGGTCCTTTTATAACATGACTGGTTTCTTCAGGAGTTAGATAGCAGTTACTAGTGGTGTTAAATTACTTACAATTTTAAGGACAAATTTAAATTGATTTGCATCTGCACATTGGAAGTCTGACTTCCCAAGTTAGGTATCTTCTGAAGAACAGCTGAAACTGAAGTGGTCTAGTCCTTCTTACTGTTTGACTGGTATATTCTTGTGCTTTTGTGCCTCRTTTGTTTAAAATGACCTTAATTAAGCATGAAGCACACTAGAGAGTTGTCTTGTTTGGCTGGTTTCACTTGCYGTTGAGTTATTTTGTCAAAGACGATTTGCGCTCAGAAGGTCCCGTCCTGACATCGGTGGCATGTTGAAACATCGGTGGCATGTTCAAAATTAATGGCAAATTTTATTTCTCAGTCCAGTGATGTGGGATCAGGTTCCTTGTTTCTATCTGTGCCTTACAGGTTTAGTAATTGTGATAAAAGATGAATCTTATTTCTTGAAAGCTAGATAAGTGGATCCATATCAATACAGAAATGAAGCAAAATATTTGAGATTTTCCCATTCGAAGACCAAAAAAAAAAAAAAAAAAAGTGAACGATCAATTTAGTGGTTTTTTCCTTTGTAGTTTGATAATTGTCTGCCATTAAAGTGTAGAACCGGAGCTTTAGCATGACAGATTTAGGATTTTTTTCCTCTGATGGCATCATTGTGAGGACCAGAGTTCCAGAGTGCTTGCAGCAGCCTCGTATTTTTCTGTCTGTTCGTGACAAACCAGCTACTGTACATTCATATAGAGCAGTACAGTCCTTGCCACTGGCAGTCTCTCTGTGACAGAGAGCCTGTAGGCTGACATAAAGTGCAGCCTGTTGTGAACTGCTAAGTGGGAGTCTGCCAAAAACTCAGCAGACAGAACTAATTGGGGAGAAAAAGGATTTTTGTGCCCTCATCTCTCCCTCTTCAATTTTTTTTACAAGACGGATATTGTTAAAGTAACTTGTTTATGTAAGATTTGTCTGCCTCTATTTTCTCATTGCATGAATCATTTTTTAACTTCAAGTCTTGCTCTGCAGGTCACTGAGCACTTCCACATGGCGGCTGGCACAGACCCAAACTCGAGACACGCAACTCATCACAGTTGATGAAAAATTGGTAAGGGTTTTCTCCTGCRTACTGCCATGATGCAGCCTTCGGGGTTATTTCTGCACAATAGGCATTCAGTATGGTATTCCGTGCTCTTCTAGGAAAGCCCTATAAATGRGAACTACAAAGCAAAAATCCTTCCTGCATTTTGAAAGGGGAACATCAGGAAAACATACTTATGTGAAGGAAATAGGGCATTCCAAGTATTACGCAACACAAAATGATGAGTACCTTGTTTATTATTATATTGTGGTCAAGGACCAGAACGAACTCTGATTTATAACAAATTTGCTCTTTTGAGGTCCAGGTATTTGCTGTGTAGTGGAATGATACAGAAGTTGCCAGCTTCCTGAAATTCTCCTCATTAAGACCTGTATGACTAAAGGAAGTGTGTAGAGAAGCTTGCAAGCTCATTGTTACTATGTACATACACCCCAGCTTTTGAATATGCATGAAGGTTAGATTACAACTAGGAACAAATGCATAACATTCTTCAGCTAATCAGTAGCAGATCAGAAATTTGGCAATCTTTTTCTTGTAAGTTCTTCCATAATGTGTGGTCTGTTACTCTAGATGCAACCTGACACTTATGTTTACATTATTCAATAGCATGATTTTTGTAGGACTTCTGGAGGGAGTGCATCACAGCAGAAGGAGCCTTTTCATTGGTGTTCAGGTCGCTTTTGAATCTCCAGGAAAAAACACATTCCCATCACATGTAGCAGCTCGTTCTTACTGTATACACTTTTTTTTCGTATCCCTGAAGCTGTGTTACCAACTTGGGAACCAAAGGAAATACTGGGAATTTGTGTATAGAAGTTTAACATTTGTAATGGTTTCTGCAGGTTGAGACACCTGAAGTTTAACAGGCTACTGAAAAAATTGTACTTAGTTTGAAAGCTCCTTTTCTATATATCATGGTTTATAATACACATATATCAATAATTAATCTCTTCTGYGTTAGTATGGCCATTTCCACTATAAACTTAGTTTGATGCCTTAGTAATTTTTTTTCGGAATTTAAATTTAATTTATGTCATGACATAGTTCTAGGTTTTAAAAACTGTGAGAACATTTTAATAATCATATTTGTTAAAATATAGCATCTTGCAAATCTCATTGCAAAACTCGAGTTTCAGGAAATTTCATTTAATGTTCAAAAGGTCGTGATTCACTATGTAAATAAAATTCACCAAGTCAATTGACCTACATTTCCCTAAACATATTATGAATAGCATGTGGTTGTTGTAGTATTGTTCTTTAACATGAAAAAAAATCTAAATAGCATTTTATGATGCCTTACTTTACAGCATCACACTTCCCTGTGGKGACCCCAGGCAATGGATATGTGGATGTGTAGAGGCTACAGTGTGAAAACAGACTCACAAAATAAATCCTCTGTCTTCTGTATTTAAATGCACATTATTCTAAATTAAGGATTTGTATTACTCTAACAGTGACAATTCTATTTACAGTTAAGTTAACAAATGATACTAATTTGAACTGCAACTCTTCTCTCAGTATTGGTATAAATGAGCAGTGAATGAAATGACTATTTTTGATGTCATTATGTGGTGAAATCAAAGAGTTCATAGTCTCTTTTTTTTTGAGATCTGATACTATAAAACATTGAATCATTTCATTTAATTCTACTGTTCCCTTGTTAACTTTTTATAAATACTCAAAAGAAATGAGCAGTTTGTATTGGGATAAAAGTCAAATGGAATAGTATTTTCTTGCAGTGTAGTGCACATAGAGTTCTTTCCTCTTTTTCTCTTAGATTCTTGTCCTGTTTAAGGCAGGATGCTAAAAGATTATGSTAATCTTTTAGAAGTTTCACATACAGATTTGGATAAATGTGCATATTAAAAMAAATTATATTTTATCTATTGGGCAAAATGCATTTCCTCTTATCAAGGAAAATATTCAAGAAAAGTTTTGATGTGTTTTTTGACCTTTTTTAGAATCATCACAAGTTCTACAACACCTGTTAAGCCTTATGGAAAAGTAGATTACTATGTTATCCTATTTTAAGTTCCTGAAGTGTATTTCTTTCTAATAAGAATTATTTCTAGCATGTTAAAGCTAATATATTACTTGAATTTACTTTTTTAAAAATAATGTTGCTGAACACAATSTGACTGTTATATCTATACAAGTTATAATTAAATTGTATTCCAGAACTCCATGTTTTAATTTAAAAACATATAGTTCAGTAGACTTGTTGTTTGTCTATATGTATTTAATTTTTTTGTTTGTTTTTAAAACTGACATGAGTTTACTGGTAGCCCCAAAATTGGATTATTTGTTCTGTTGTTTTTATACTCTTACTTTGCAACTGAACTCTTGTGAGTTGATATTTACAATTTTAATAGGTTAACACTGTGTTTATTAAAAATTTTTAATTGCATTTTGTTATTGAGTTTATTTGGCTGCTGTTATACTCTTACAAGCCTTGTATTCCTATATGTTTACATATATGATACAGCTTTCTTTTTGACCCTATGAGGTCTAGAATATTCTTTATATTAGGAAACACAAACAAAATAGAATGGGATAAAATTTAGGCCACATTAATTGTGATCTAAATTACTGTTCTTTCTAYTAGGAAAAGAGTGGAAGTCTTGCATCTAGAAGGAGTTAGAATGCTCAGCTTGTCTAGAACACACCCAAGAAATTATGTTTTGTCCCAACTATCGGTCATTTTCTGTGAATTTTAATAAAAATAACTTAATGAACAGTTAAATCCAAAGAAAATAACATGCAAAATGACCAAAGCTAAACAAAAATATAATTCTTGCATCATATCTTGAATCTCTGGCCACCAATTAGGTTATATTCCAAGAGTCTGGACAAATAGCTGGGTGAAAAGTAGTCTCTCAAGACTGTTTGCATTAGGAAATTTGGGCTATAGAGGACGAGGCTGTCGGCAGCCAAGCTCCCTCAGGTAATGTTCCAAATGATTTAACTGTTTGCAAGGATGGAATAACACTGTTTCCATCATCATTATAAAAGGTTCTGGATGTTTTGCCTAAAATGGGAATTTGAGCTATTTTAAATTACTGTGACCTGTTTCAACCACTACGAATGCCGCATATCTGTACTGTCCATTTTAGCTAACAGTAGTGTTCAACACGTGTGCTTTAAACAGACTTTCCAGTCCGTGTAAATAATGTTGGCTTGCAGTGTCCTACCCCAAGTTTCTACAGACTAGATAGTTTCTTGAAAATTGCACTCTGCTCTTGGGAAGGGTTTGTACCAAATTACCCTAAAGTTTTTGCCAATAGAGGACGTTTTACAGCGGTTAAATGATACCTCTATTGCAAGAATATTTGAATAGAAGAAGGTATTACAAGAATGGCAGGCTAACTATGGTAATGCCTTGATGTTTCAGCTGCTTTTCGGAAATTGTTCTCTTGTGAATGCTGTCAATTAAACTGTTTTTGAGTTCTAGAGCACGAGGCTCAGTGCTGAAACTCAGTAGTGGGCTAGTGTCCTCCTTGCTGTAGAGAATCTCCTGTGTATCTGTCATTAAACATAACTAGTATGCTGAGGTATACATAGAGTTTAGCGCACAAATCTAAGCCTCTTTTCTGAAAGAGGTTTTGACTTTTGAAGGCAAGCGGTTCATATCTTTCAGACAGAGTTCCAGAGAAGCATTAAGTGCAGCCTAGGCCAGAACTGATTGATGGCTATTGAGAAATTGGGATTGATCAATATTGGGAGCTCTGTATCAAGAGTTTTAGCAGCTTCTTCTGCCTGTTCATAGATAGTAGTTAATGTCTGTTTTAAGTGTTTACTACACGAAACTCTAGCAAAAAARCATGCCTATACTTTCAGTAACCAGCTGAAACATTCAGTTCCCTTCTTCTAGAAAACTGCATTATTAGCAAACATCGCACTGTTTTTAGGACTGAGTCATAGCTAGTTCACCTTCATCCTAATCTCAATTTTGTCTAGTCTTGGTAAGTAGTGAAATTGTATAATTCCAGTTTGATTAAAGGAGCACAGACTTGACTGTAATAAACAGTGATAATATTGTAGCTCAAAATAGAAGTATGCAAACAAGTGAAAAACAGCTTGGAATGATGAAACTTCTTCAGCTATCAAACTGGTAGTCTTTGGAGTGCCCTGAAACAAAGGACAGAGCAAATCAGGCTCTCTCATGCCTTTAGAAGTGTGATCATTCCTTGCAGCCTTTCCCAAGAACCAAAACTATATTATACACTTTATGCTGAAAAACAAAACATTAATGTGTCATGAAATTACGTGCGAGACAGCGTGACGTTGCATTTGAAGGCTGTGCATAGGAGCTGTTTTTCAGGGAAGAGAAGCACTTGGCGAAGGGTGCCTTTATTGAAGGCAGGCTTACTGGATTTCCTTCCCGTGAAACCACTGCTCAGCCAAAAATTCTCCAAGCATTACCACTGGGTTAGGTAATAAGGATATAGTGGAGATTCTGTGTTTTGGTTTTTCAAAATGCTATTAACCCCTTGTGGGTTATTCCTTGAGGGCGAGTTCAAGCTGTTCCRCATGTAACTTAATGGGATAAAAGTATTTAGAATAATCTTTTCTTCATTTGRTCCAATCTACCTGCAGTATTTGTTCAACTGGTTACCATAAAGGATTTGGTTTTGGGGCAGCRTTTTTCTTCAGGTGAGGAATGTAACTTACAAGTTTTTGTGGGCCCTATGGGTATGACTCTGATGTGGGGCTGTCGTATACAAAAGGATGCAAGATACTAGAGTGGAAATCGGGCAGGAGGCTCAGAGAAGTGTACCACAACTACCACTGCCCTCTTTCTCTCACCCAGAACTCCTTACCCCAAACTTTTGCCTTGATGGTGTGTTTTTTTTTTTTCCCGTCATTTTCTTTGCAGATMGGACTGAGGAAAATCCTTCAATCTTTGGTCACAGTGGCCTTGTATAGGRGGCTTGTGGCTTGGTGAAGTGGAGTGAGCAGGTAGTCAGGTGCACCGTTGTACTCTTAAGTGCAGCRTAAATGAAAAG